GAGAAACTAATTTGTGCTGTAAACTTTCACCTAAAACACGTAAAATTAAAAAAACAAAAAAAGGTTAAGCGTCGCTTACCACCTACCAGGCACTGTTCTAAGCACTTTACATATATTAATCATTTAATCCCCATGACAGCCCTATGAGGTCATTTCACTATCCTCATTTTCCAGATGAGGAAACTAAGGCTCAGAGAGAAGTGACTATCGTGGGGCTGGAACTAGGTCTGCCTGACTGCAAGGCCAGCACGCTTGTCTACAAACGCCACCCAGTTCCCCTAGCAGGAGAAGGGGATGTTGAGCTGTTCTCTCGGAGGAGAAGGGGAGGGGATCCCGGGAGGAGAGGAGAGGGGTATCAAGAGAGAGCGTAGCCTGGTCAAGTGACTGGAGCCAATGGGCTGTGTAGTCTGTTCTGATACCTGACTAGCTTTATGACTTTGCTCAAGTCATTTTACCCTCTTCTGCCTCTGTTTGCCTCACCTGTAAAATGAGGATAATCACTGTATTCACTCCAAAGATTGTGTGGGGACTGGATGTTGTGACTCCTGCGAAACCCTCAGCCCCTGGCACACAGACAACTCTTAGCTCTCTCTTGGGACACACAGCTCTCTCTTGGGACACAGCCAACAAGGTGACCTATTTTTCTTTGCAAGATTCCTCAGTGGCAGGTCTGAGTTCAAGGGGGAGAGAATGGAGTCTGAAGGAGAGGAAGCAGGAGCCGTGGTGTTGGGAGGTCAGCACTAGGGAGGGCAGAGAGGCAAGTTCCCATATCAGAGGCTGACTCAGGAAGGCGGGTAACCAGTTGGCTGTGAGGGTGAGGGAGAGCATGGAGCTGGGCTGACTGTGAGGTTTCTGCTCGAGGGAGTTGGGTGGCACCTTTTACTCACACCTGCCAAGGGCTGGGGAAATAGGTCTGTGAGAAAGTGGGTGGGGAGGGAAGATGATAATGTCATTGTCTGATGAGGTGGTAGAGTGACGTGGGGTGGGCCTGGCCCACAAAGCTGGCCATTCATTCCTCCTGGCTCTTCCTCTCACCAGCTGTGTGATCCCAGACATACAACTTAACCTCCCTGGGCCTCAGTTTCATCATCTATAAAATGCAGAAATAACAGTAGCTTTCTCAAGGGCTTGTTGTCAGTGTTAAAATAATTTTACATATGTAAAGTGCTTAGAATAAAGAGTCTCGGTGGCACAGTGGTTAAAGCGCCCAGCTGCTAACTGAAAGGTTGGTGGTTCAAACCCACTAGTCACTCCACAAGAGAAAGACGTGGCAGTCTGCTTCCGTAAAGATTACAGCCTTGGAAACCCTATGGGGCAGTTCTACCCTGTTCTGTAGGGTCGCTATGAATCAGAATTGACTCGATGGCAGTGGGTTTGGTTTTGGGGTTTCAAAGTGCCTAGAATAGTCCCTGGCACATAAGCAGGGCTCAATAAATGCCAGCAGCATTACTGGATTTGAGTTCCTTGTCAAATGTGGGTCTAATACAGTGAAACCTGTGTGAGCCGGAACTCGACGGGACTGCCTTGTTTTTCTGGGTCTCACAAGTTTTCCACTGTTGACAAGGTGCAGTCTTACCACTTCTATTGCTCTCTCTTAGTGGAAAATATTTGAGTTTTCCTTCTCTGACAGGTTTCTGCCTTACACATGTTCTGGCTTTCTCAGGTTTTACTATAATAGTAACTAGTGTTATTTAATGAGCCCAGCACTACTGTCAGCCCTTATGCATATTAACTCATTCAATATTCAAAACAACCCAATAGGGTAGGTACTGTGATTACCCTGCCTTTACAGAGGAGGAAAATTGAGGCACAGCAAGGCTAAGACACTCATTCAAGGTCACACAGTATAAGACAGAGTTAGGATTTGAACCCAGAACCCAAGCCATTGACCCCTTCACCAAACTGTCTACCCAGCCACAGCCATACCACAGAGGTTGTATGGCCAACACCAGAGGTTTTGCCTGTCCATCAGTGACCCGGTCCCCCTTTTTCCACTGACAGTTTCCCTTTGGGAGACCACCTGCCCCTCACCCTCAGTCCATATGAGACTCCCTTTGAGGGGGGCCATGTTGGCAACATGTGTACCATCCTCCAGTTGGTCCAGCCCAGTCTGGCTGCCTCCAGTGCTGGAACGACCCACGGCATTGCTTGCTTTAGGGGCCATGCTGCATGCAAAAGACATGTGTTTGTACACTGGGATCCTGCGCAGTGGGGAGAGGCGCACACTGGGGCATGACAGCACGTCCCAGCAGATCTTAGCAGATCCTAATTATCCAGGTTTCCCCCTCACTCTAAGTCCAAGACATATTCTTACTGAGCAGTGGGCCACATATTTGAAATTACAGTATCACATCTCTCTCTTCTAGCTGAGTAGAGATGAATTTGTGTACCTTACACTCGTCCACTGGGTATCCCTAGTCTTATAGCAGATGTGCTCATCACAAAGGCTCCTGGCCAAGGAATTGGAGGTTAAAATTCAGCCTGCAACCGGGGCCCAGCGGTAACCCACAAGGCATGTCCCATCAGCCTGGGTGCCATCTTGTAATTCTTTTACCTGGAACCAGTGGCTGTTGAGTCAACTCTGACTCATGGTGGCCCATATATGTTGCAATAGAACTGTGCTCCATAGGGTTTTCATGTCTGTGAACTTTCAGAAGCAGATGGCCAGGCCCTTCTTCTGAGTGGCTTCAAACTGCCAATCTTTTGATCAGTACTCTAGTGCTTAACCGTTTGCACCACCCAAGGGCTCCTTTCTGCTTGTAGGGGGTGCCTTTTTCTAAATCAAACCAAAGGGCCGTAAGTGCCCTGCTTGATGGGCCTTGAATTCCTTGACATTATATGTACAATGCCTGCCTGTTTTAGGCGGCAGAGAGTCCATAGATTTCAGCAGATTCTCAGTAGAGGTTTCTGAAGGTTTGTGATCTGAGAGAGCTGGGCTGAGGCATGTCAACGGGACGCAAGGCAATACCACAGCCCCAGAAGGATGAGACTTGAAGCCTGTCATCTGCCCAGAGCAGCCAGACTCAGCAAAAAGACCTTTCCCTAGAGGCCTGGAGTCAGACAATTTGAAGCCCCAGAGCAGAAGGACACCAGCAACTCTTGGGAACCAGACTGGCTGAAGTCGGGGGTCGAGGGGGGCGTGGGGCAGGGGGCAAGGTAACTGTGGCCCAGCCCCTCCCACACCTGGAGGTGCCGCCATGGTCCAGCTAGGGCCCTGGGGTCTCTGCAGTTCCTTCACTGTTTGCCACCTCCCTACCTACGTGCTCCTCCCAGTTGCACCTATAGCCCTCTGAGAGGTGCCACAGGAAGTGAGGACAGAACTGGGCTCTTAGGCCCAGGATTTTTTTTTTTTTTAATAATATTTTGTTGTTTTCTTCTCAGTGAAAGTTTACACAGCAAACTAGGTTTTCATTTGACAATTTCTACACAAATTGTTCAGTGACATTAGTTAGTTAACATTTTCCACAATGTGTCAACATTCTCTTTAATTGCGGTCTGGTTGTTGGTTTCCAGTACAGACAGTCCCCGTTATGACTGTGGACTTGCCCTTTAATGTTACGTAAATTTGCCCTCATTTTGCAATGACTAAGCCCAGCCCTACTCGCAGGCGACAAACTCTTCATCACAATCACCTCCACTTACTGCAGATGCAGCTTTTAATTCATTGGGAGAAAAGGCTTCAAGCCTTTTCTTGCACTGAGAACCAAAAAAACCAAACCCATTGCCATCGAGTCGACTCTGACTCATAGTGACCCTATAGGACGGGGTAGAACTGCCCCATAGAGTTTCCAAGGAATGCTTGGTGGATTCAAACTGCCAACCTTTTGATTAGCAGCTCTAGCACTTAACCACTACACCACCAGGGTTTCCTCTCGCACCAAACTAAGGCTAAATAAGAACTGTATGCACCTGTTCCGACTTACCTACAAATGTGACGTAAAGACACAGTTAGGAACCGATCTTGTTTGTAACCCGGGGACTGCCTGTACTCTAGTTTCCCTGGGTTTGGTTTGTTAGGAGCTGAGGAGACAAAGGAGGTGGGAATCTGTGGACCAGTTAGTTGCAAGAAGAAGCAGACTTTCTGGGCTAACGTTGCCCGCATTCTGCCATCCTCAGAATGCTCCAGGTGCTTAGGGAAAAATAATATTTACAGCAAACACTTGCATAGCCCCGTTCTGAGTGCTGACATGAGCCAGCTCACTTACTCTTCACAGAAACTCTGTCAGGTAAGTATGATTATTGTCCCCATTTTAGAGATGAGAAAACTGAGGGTAGCTTCTGGGGTGCCCTCCCCCCAGATCCCCTGCATTGGGCTGGTGCACGCATACCCCAGCTGCTGAGGGTGGAGGCTGCCAACTCACAGTGTCCCCTTCTCCTTGGATCGCCCTGGGCTGATGACAGCCCCCTTGCCTAGGAACTGAACTACCCTACCGCAGCCTCCTGGGGGGAGCCCACAGCCAATGACAGGCTGATGTGGGGGTACAAAAGGCCAGCCCTGGAGTCCCTGGGTAGTGCAAACTGTTAATGTGCTTGGCTGCTAACCGGAAGGTTGGAGGTTCGAATCCACCCAGAGGTGCCTCTGAAGAAAGGCCTGGCAATCTACTTCCAAAAAATCAGCCACTGAAAACCCTGTGGATCACAGTTCTACTCTTATGCACATGGTGTCGCCGTGAGTCGGAGTCAACTCCACAGCAACTGGTTTTTCTTGTTCAAGGGAGGATCAGGCCAAGGCTAGACTTCCTCTGAGACCATGTCCTTGCTTTTTCCTCGAATGCTGCTTTCCTTACACATTTTTCCTAGATTCCCTCAGTGCCTCATGGACCCTTCAGTGCATCCCAGTCTCAGCCTCGGCTTCCGGGAAACCCAGCCCGAGACACTGAGGCACAGAAAGCTGTGGTGCAGACAGCTGGTAAGTGGCTGAGCCAGGATTTGAACCTTGGCAGTCTGGGCTCGCAGCCACGACACTCTGGCCTCTCAGAGGGGGCTGGCTGGGTGCTCACCTGTAGCTGCAGGGCTCGGCCCCGAACAGGCAGGCCAGGATCAGCTGCTCAGCGGGGTAGCCCATCTTCATCAGCTCCTTTCTTGGCACCTGGGAGAAGATGTTGGTGGCCTGCAGGACATACCACTCCATCACGGCCTGGGTGGCGCTAGTGAACTTCTGGAAGGTGCACACAGTCCCGTTGGAGCTGCACTATGGAGGCCAAGAAGGGTTCCTGTGAGTGCGGGGGCTGCTGGCAGGGCCCCAGCCTCTGCCCACCCCAGTCACTGCTCAAGGGTCCCAGCAGGTCAAGGACAGCACTCAGCCAGATGCCCTTCCACTGTCTGCACCTGGGTGCTCGGGCTACCAGCTGTTCGGCTGGTGAGAGATTACACTTACACTCACTTCTGCCTCACACATGAGATCATGGTCACAGAACTCACACACACACAGCCACCAGCACTGCCCCGTATCTACCACTATGCAGAACAGGGCTATGTAAGTGTTTGCTGTAAATATGAGCACACACGCGCGCGCGCACACACATGCACGCACACACACATGGTCACGGTCACGTGTGCATGCAGACAGATGCCCACTTTGACATCCATGGCCACCTGATGTCATGGTCACAAATAGCATACACATATCTACCAAAATCTCGTTGCCGTCGAGTCAGTTCCAATTCATAGGGACCCTATAGGACAGAGTAGAGCTCCCCATAGGGTTTCCAAGGCTGTAAATCTTTACGGAAGCAGACTGTCACATCTCTCTCCTGTGGAGTGGCGGGTGGGCTCAAACCGTTGACATTTCGGTTAGTAGTTGAGTGCTTAACCAGTGAGCTACCAGGGTTCCTTATACACATATCCATCCCTTCCCCCATATACCTAGATTCACACAAGTGGCCACCACACGGATAGTCACGTGGCCACATATACAGACACAGACCATTCTGACTCCCTTCACTCCTTTCCTCCTGATAGATGCAGGCCCAGCCCCTTCCCAAGGCATCCAGACGTGGCGCCCCTCAAGGCTGTGTGAACCACGGAGAGAGACTCTCCCTCGTCCTCCTCCTCCGCTCTGGGAGGGAGAGGCAGCCCTGAGCCTGCAGGGGGTGCAGGGCCCCCTTTCACGTCACCACAGCCAGCTCATCATGAAGTGCAGGCCACCACACAGACACTGCACAGACCTGGCCCTGTGCTCCATAGGGCTTTCAAAGGCTGATTTTTATCCTGGATGGTGCAAACGGTTAACACTTGGCTACTAACGGAAAGGTTGGAGGTTCGAGTCTACCTAGAGGCACCTTGGAAGAAAGACCTGGCAATCCACTTCTGAAAAATCAGCCGGTGAAAACCCTATGGAGCACAGTTCTATTCGGATGCACATGGAGTTGCTATGAGTCAGAACTGACTCAAAGGGAACTGGTCTGGTGTTGTGAAAGAGGAACTCTTTTGCCATGGAGGTTGCTGAGTCAGTGGGTGGGATATAAGCCTGGCATTGCCAGGGCGCTCCACATAGAGAGAGCCTGCCAGAGAGTAAAGTCAACAGAGAGAAAAGCTGAACCACGAGATGGAGAGATAGAGTCCTAATGACACCATTGGAGTACCTGGTTCCAGCCACACCTGAACTCAATATATCCCTGGACTTTCATTTATGTGAGCCAATCAACATTCCTATTTGCTTAAGCTAGTTTAAGCTGAGTCATTTGCATCCAAAAGAGTCTTGACTAACATACCAGCTACTTCTATTTTTTAAAAAGTTCCACAAACAAATGGGCAATGGCTCCCAGCCTGCCTTTCACCCAGCAAGACCCAAGTTATTCAAGAAAAGAAACTCCCATCAGCCTGCTGCTTGCCATGTGCCCAGGAACCACTTACTAGTCTTATGGCCACTTTGCACCCCTGGGCGTTGCAGATCCTTCCTGGTGCTGGGCTGCTGCTTGCTGAGCCATTGTAGTTATCTCCAAAGAGATCGAGGACCACGGGGTGGTGGGGGTTCCGCTCATCAATGAGGACCAGGGGTGTGTGGTTCCAGATGGTGAAGTTCAGGGCCCTGGTGGCATTGGCATGGCTTGACTCGGGAGCCAGGATCCTCTCCAGGACCGCTTCCATCAGTTCGTCCAGGTCCTTCAGCAAATGCTTGACTTTGGAATATCTGGGCGAGGGAGAAGGCTGGTCAGAGGGGTAAAGGACAGCTGCCTCTTAATGTCTACCATGCTGGAAGGCAGGACAACTAGAATCTGGGATGCTCTCTGCCTCCATTGTGGCTGCCACCTTGTATAAGAATGCCCTGCCCAAGCACGCATCTCTCCACCCATCCATCCATGCATGCATCCTTCTACCCACCCATTCACTCAGTCACCAAGTATTTAATGAGCACCTAGTATGTGCCAGGTACAGTGCAAGGCACAGAGGATACAGTAGCAAAGAAGACAGCCTGCGTCTCCTTCCTTATGAAAGTCACATTCTAGTGGGGAGGAATCATAATAGCTCATGGTGATTGACTGTTACCATGTGCCAGGTTCTAGGGGCTTTCTGTGTACTATTTTACTTCATCTTTATCACAATTCCATCATCATCCCCACATACAGGTAAGGAGGCTGAATCTATTCAATGGCAACAGGTTTGGTTTTAGGGGGCATCCCGTTCGTGTGCAGGAGTTCTGATATCTCCCTTCTGGAAGGGGACAAAGAACGTTGGGAGGAGCAGCACCTGTGTGATCCTGAGGGTGCTAGATCTCAAGCCACAATTTTGGGAACAGGAGCCAGTTTCAGGAGGGAGAGGGCCAATGGGGCTGTGGGGTTGGGTTCCGGTATCTCCTCTCAGCTTCTGGGGATCTAGTGTTGGAAATGGTGAGCAGTCAGTTGGGTAGAAATGTGTCCATAGCAGGGACTGTCCCTGCCAAGCTTCATGTTTGGGGGTCCTGCATCCCAGTCACCTCATACTCCATTTACCAAGACCCTGCCACAGTATGTGCTCACCAGGTCAGTGTAGGCCAGCTTCAGCTGGAGGACTCCTTGCAGGGGACCATTAAGCCCTGGACAGGGGCCAAGGTCCTGGTACAAAGGTATAGGGTGGCCAGAGCTAACGGCCACCTCAGGCTCTGACACCGCCCATCCCCTGGCCATTAAGGAAGCCACTGGTATACACACAGGAAGAGAAGGATCAGCAAGCATGGCAGCCTGGAGCAGTGGGGTGTTACTACAGCCCGCTGTCCACAGCAGCTGTTGAGCTTGGTGGCCATTGTGTGGGGTCTGGGTTTGAATTCTGACATGCCACTTAATATCTGTGTGACCTTGGGCAAGTTAACCTCTCTAAGAGTCTGTTCTCTCATTTACAAAATGGGAGGGGGGTGTAAAAATATTTACCTCAGGGGGTTGTTGGGAGGATTCATGGAGGTGATGCTTATAAAGCACTTGGAACAGTGCCTGGCACAAAGTGTTGTTGTCACTATTATTATTAAGGGTTCTCTCAGGTGGCTCTGAGGATCCACACAAGCAGGCAGGAGCCCTATTACTAGAAAGGAGGGAGTTTCTAATAACTGAAAATGTGGCTGGAAGGTGTGAATTCCTTCCCAGGACCCTCTTTTGGACAAGAATGTTCTCTATGGCTTAGTCACATTGGCCCTTCTTTCAATTCCTTGAATGTCCCACCCCAGGGCCTTTGAAGATGCTGTGTACTCCACTTGGGGCACTTTGTCCATTCCACCTGGTTAACTTCTACTCATTTCTCAGGGCATTTTTCTCTGACACCCTGCCTCTCCCCAGTCCTGACTGGGTTGGGTCCCCTTGTATGTCCGCTTCATGGGCCTTGTCATCAAGTGTGGAAAGGGCAACAAGGTCGAATGGTTAAAACCTGCCCACTCTGGAGTCAAACCAGACCTAGGTTCAAATCCTGCATTTGCCCACTATGTGGTCCTAGGCAAGTTCCCTCTCCTCTTTGATTCTCTGTTTCCTCATCTGTAAATTGAGGCTGCTACAGTAGTGCCCACCCCTAGGATGGTTGTACGGATTAGAATTACAGAAATTACCACCCACCACCGCCCCCCTCCAAGAAAAACAAAACACTCAGCACACTGCCTGGCTTATCACAAGGAGTCGCCGCACAGTCGCTATTTTTTTTAAATCATCACAATTATAATTAATTAAATATTTGTGAAAAAATGAACATCTGTTTTCTCTGCTGGGCTATGAAGAGGGCAGGGACTTTGTTTTGTTCACTGCTGTATCCCTAGGGCCTAGAACAGTGCCTGGCACACAGTGGGTGCTCAATAAATACATATTGAGTAAATACATAGGTATTGGCATGCCTGCAGACAAACGACAACAACAAAAACCCCTAACCCACTGCCATCAAGTCGGTTCCAACTCACAGCGACTCTATAGGACAGAGTAGAACTGCCCCACAGGGTTTCCAAGGCTGTAATCTTTCCAGAAGCAGACTGCCACATCTTTCTCCCGCTGGTGGGTTCGAACCGCCAACCTTTCAGTTAGCAGCAGAGGGCTTGACCACTGTGCCAACAGGGCTCCTTATGCCGGAAGACAGGAACTTGATATTTTTTGAGGTTCTCTTTACATCTAGGAAATTTACGAATTTTGAATCTTACTTGCTGCAAAAGTGAAAGAGAGGAAGACGAAGAGAAACGGAGGAAAGGAAGGAAGGAAGGAAAGAAAAAGAGGAAGAAGAGAAAAGGAAAGAAGAGAGAGAAGAAAAGGGAGACAAAGGGAAAGAAAAGCAAAGGAGGAAAAGAAAGCTGTAAGGAAGGAAAAAAGCAGAGAAAATTGGACAATGAAGTAAAAGAAAAAAAGAGCCCTCTCTGTTAAGGCCAGCTGAGCGATCCAGGGACCACCTACTGGAAGGGGCTGGCGTTGCAGATGGTGACCGCGGGGAAGTCCATGTTCTTGAAGTCCATGGAGAGGGAGACGCTGACCTTGCAGCTCAGGTAGGTCTTGATGAAGATGCCCCACTGCCAGCAGACAAGGGAGGTGAAGAGCAGGGTGAGCACAAACCACATGGCCTTCTTCTTGGGCCCCTCGCAGATGATGCGCTTGGGGCCGTGGGTGTTGGTGTTGTTGCAGTACCACACCAGCAGCTCCTTGTACGTGTAGCCGGGGCCCTTCTGCAGTCTGTGCAGGCACTTCAGCAGGTACTTTTTCACGTGCATGGCGGCACCTGCACAGAGACATAGGAAAGCCACTTAAGATGTGGTGCCAGCCTTGTGTTTGAGGTTGTCCCGGCTGTGGCAGAGCATGGACATTGGAGACAGACATCCCAGCCTTTCCACTCCTTCCTGCCACCCATCCACCTGTCCATCCATCCATCCTCCCTCCCTCCCTCTTACCCTCCCCACTCCCTCCCTCCATCCATCCATCCATTCCTCCATCCATTCACACACCTACCCATCTACCCATCCATTCAACAAGCACTTATTGAGTGCCTACTGTATGCCAGGCATGGAACTAGTACTTCTGGACTCTCAATGATGAGAAAAACACACAAGGTTACTTTCCTCCAGGAATTTCCAGCCTAACAGGCAAGTTACTTAGACTCTCAACAACTCAGGTTCTCCATGTGTAAAGTGGGGATAGTAATTGTATCTAACACAGGATTGCTGAGAGGGTGAAATTAGGGGATACCTATCACAGACTACTCAATATCTTGGCTACTATATTATAGTAGTGGTTAGTGGATAAGATGGATGTTAATCAAATAATTCATCAAAAAGGGCATAATTACAAAATGTGATAGGAAGGTTTGGGACCCTCTGCCCTGAGATCCTAGAGGCAGTAAAGGGCAGAGGTTAAGAATGAAGACTCTGAGCTGAACTGTCTGGCTTTGAATCTCAGCTCTGCCACGTAGAGCTGTGTGACCTTGAGCAAGTCACTTTACCCCCCTGTGCCTTAGTTTGTTCATCTGTACAATGGGAATAATAATAGCCTCCACCTCATAGTGTTGTTGTGAAGACTACATGAGGGAAATTATGTAGAGGGCGGGTTAATGCCTGGCACCTAGTGTCAGCTGTTGCTATTAAAAAAGGGAGACCTGACCGAATCTGAGAGTCCCTGGAGAAGGGAGGGCAGAAGTGAGTGTTAAAGGATAAGAAGAGTCAGCTCAGTGAAGAGGAGCGGTAGAGGGGGAAGGGCATTCTGGTGGAGGGGACAGCTCAGTAAAGGCTCTGAGGTGGGAGGGAGCCTGGAGAGGTGAGCAGAGCCAGGCTGTGCAGAGCCTTGTGGCCATGTGAAGGATTTGGGTTTCTATTCCAAGAGAACTAGAATCTTGGGAAGCATGGGGGCGTGATGCCATCAAGTCTGAGTTTTTTAAAAAATTATCTTTTATTGTGGTGGTGAGTGTGTGTATATATACATAAAGCAAAAATTTGCCATTTCAACATTTTTTACGTGCACAAGTCAGTGACATTAATTGCTTTCATTATGTTGTGCAACCACCACCATATCCATTTCCACATTTTTCCATCACCCTTAACAGAAGCTCAATGCCCCCCACGTAATGAATCCCTGTTTCCCCTTCCCTGCTACCCCTGGTAACTGCTAATAGACTTTGTTCTCTATACATTTGCCTATTCTAGATATTTCATGTAAGTGGGATCAAACAATATTTGTCCTTTTGTGGCTGACTTAGTTCACTCAGCATAACGTTTTGAAGGTTCATTCACGTTGCAGCGGGTATCAGGACTTCATTTCTCCTTATGGCTGAATAATATTCTATTGTATGTACGTATCACATGTTGTTTACGCATCCATCTGTTGATGGACATTTAGGTTGTTTCCACTTTTTGATTATTGTGAATAGTGCTGCAGTGAACTTGGTGTACATGTATCTGTTTGTGTTCCTGCTTTCAATTCTTTTGGGTATATGCCTAGGAGTGAAATTGCTGGATCATATGGTAATTCTATGTTTAACTTTCTGAGGAACCTCCAAACTGTTTTTCACAGAGGCTGAACCATTTTACATTCTCATCAGCAATGGATGTGGGTTCCAATTTCTCCACATCCTCGCCAACATCTGTTGTTTTCTGTTTTTTGTTTTTGTTTTTTTTAATCATAGCCATCTTAGTGGGGGTGAAGTGATATTCTCATTGTGGTTTTGATTTGCATTTCCCTAATGGTATTGAACATCTTTTCACATGCTTGTTGGCCATTTGTATTTCTTCTTTGGTGAAATGTCTACTGAAGTCCTTTGCCCGTTTTTTAATCGGATTGTTTGTCTTTTTGTTAAATTGCAGAATTTCTTTAAATATTCTGGATATTAAGCCCTCATCTGATATATGGTTCCCCCCAATTTTTTCCCTGTTGTGTAGGCTGTCTCTTCACTTTGTTGATAATGTCCTTTGATGAACAAAAGTTTTTAATTTTGATGAAGTTCCATTTATTTATCTTACATTTTGTTACTTGTGCTTTTGGTGTCATATCTAAGAATCCATTGTTAAATACTAAGTGCTGAAGCATTACCCCTATGTTTTCTTCTAAGAGTTTTGTGTTTTTAGTTCTTACGTTTAGATCCTTGATCCATTTTGAATGGCTGTTTATATATGGTGTGAAGTATGGATACAGCTTTATTTTTTTGCATGTGGAAATCCAGTTGTCCCAGCATCATCTATTAAACAGATGATTCTTTCCCACTGAATGGACTTAGAACCCTTGTTGAAAATCAGTTGGCCATAGATATGCGAGTTTATTTCTAGACTCTCAATTCTATTATATTAATCAATATGTCGATCATTATACCAGTACCAGAGTTTTGATTACTGTAGCTTTTTAATATGTTTGAGTTTGGGAAATGTGAGTCCTCCTACTTTGTTCTTCTTTTTCGAGACTGCTTTATCTATTTCAGGCCCCTTGTAGTTCCATATAAATTTGAGGATTGATTTTTCCATTTCTGATTAGAAGGCTATTGGAATTTTGATGGGTATTGCATTGAATCTATAGCTTGCTTTGGGTACTATTGACAACTTAACACTATTAAGTCTTCCAGTCCATAGACACAAATGTCCTTCCATTTATTTAGGTCTTCTTTAAGTTCTTTCAGCAACGATTTATAGTTTTCTGTGTGTATATCTTTTACTTTAGTTAAATTTATTCCTAGGGGATTTTTTTCCTTTTTTTTTTTTTGGTGAAAATATACACAGCAGATCATACACTCATTCACCATATTCCTAGGTATTTTATTCTTTTAGATTCTATAATAAATGAAATTGTTTCCTTAATTTTCTTTTCAGAATGCTCAGTGCTGATGTATAGAAACCCAAGTGATTTTTGTGTGTTACCCTTGTATCCTGCCATTTTGCTGAATTTGTTTATTAGCTCTAGTAGCTTTCTTGTGGATTCTATGGCGTTTTCTATATATAGCATCATGTCATCAGCGAAAAGGGATAGTTTCACTTCTTCCTTCCCAATTTAAATACTGTTTATTTCTTTTTCTTGCTTAATTGCTCTGGCTAGGACTTCCAGTACTATACTGAATAGCAGTGGTGAGAGTGGGCATCCTTGTCTTGTTCCTAATCTTAAGGGGAAAGCTCTCAGTCTTTCTCCATTGAGCATGATGTTAGCTATGGGTTTTTCATAAATGCCCTTCATCATATTGAGGAATTTCCCTTCTATTCCTAGCTTGTGGAATGTTTTTATTATGAAAGGATATTGGATTTTGTCAAATGTTTCTCTGCATCGATTGAGATGATCATGTGACTCTTTTCCTTTGTTCTGGTAATGTGGTATATTACATTGAATAATTTTCTAATGTTGAACCACCCTTGCATTCCTGGGATAAGTCCCACTTGATCATGGTGTATAATCCTTTTAATACGCCGTTGGGTTCAGTCTGTTAGAGTTTTGTGAAGGATTTCTACATCTATGTTCATAAAGTATATTGGTCTGAAAGAGCACTGTGGCTGGTGTGTGGATGACAGATCAGAGTGGGTGAGGGTGGGTCCAGGAGTATCTCCTGCTGGCTGTCTGTGGTTGAGGAATATCTAACTTTTCCAAGACTCTGTTTCTCATCTGTACGTGGAGACAGGTTCTTGTGAGGATTAACCAAGCTGCTTGTCACAGAGCCTGGTACATGATGGGTTCCCCAGAAGTGAGAAAATGAGTTTCCTCCTTCCTCTCCTTCTGCCCCCGCCCCCTCCCTCAAAGGGCAGGAGTACCCTTGCCCCATCCCTAGAGTCCCAGTTGATCTTCAAGATTCAGGCCAAAGGCCACCTCCTTCATGAAGCTATCTCTGCTCTGACAGCCTCTGTCTCCTTGGTGGTACTGTGGGTGATATCACAATTCCTGCCTGCCCAGCATTCTCTCCCCTTGATTTATCCTCAGGTGAACTTCCCTTCTCCAGTCCAGTTGGTGTGAGTTGCCAGGCTGAGCCTGGTCTCCCTTTCTAGCTTTGGGGGGATGAGCACATGAGCCGGTTTGGTCCACTGGGACTTGATTCTGGTAATTAATGCTGGAACAACTGAGGAAGAGGCTTCTCTTTTAGCCAAGACTAAGCTAGTGGTGGTATTTGGCCTGGGAAGCCTGCCTGAGAATGAAGCCAATTCCGAGGAAAGCAGAGTCTCAAGATGGAGGGATAGATTTCTGACAACATCGTTTGATTACCTGGATCCAACCACACCTGAAGCCACTTATTCCTGGACTTGTCACTTACGGAAACCAATAAATTTTCTCTCCTGCTTATGCTGATCCAAGTTGGTGGTTTGTCACTTGCAACCATTAGAATCTTGACAGAAAAGAAACTCACTTTGTTCTACCCTGGGTCAGTTACTTATGCCTGTGTCTTAGTCCCATGAGCTCATAAGTTCCCTGAGGGTAGCAGCTCTGTATCCCCCCAGTGCCCAGCACAGTACCGGCACCCCGCCAGATGGACAGATGTATAATGCTAGACCTTCATATCTAAGCACATTTTAAACTTTCCCAAGCATGTTCACAGCTGACCTAATTTCTGACACAGTAACATCCCTCACCTTCCCTTTTCAGGAGGAATCCTGGCAAAACCATTCTCTAATGGGAATCCAGCTCCATGGGTCTGCCCGGGCCATTGGGGCTGTAAGACAGGAAGTTCAACCCCCACCTTTCCCCAGAGGACCGATTCCCTGTTCTAAAACCATAAAATATTAGTAAGAGGAATAATAACAACAATAACCACAAGAACAACATCAAAGCATT